CTTTGGCACTTTTGGTCTGCCTTTACGTTTGCTACTGCATACCATTATTTCGCTAAGTCATGGCTACTTTGAATGGTGTTTGGAGTGTTAGTTGACAAGGCAATTACCTTTTGAGCGTAGGTGATGAGTGGATGTCGTACATTACGCATGTTCACCATATTGACTTTTCAACCTTTCCACTGGTCATCTGTGTTGGCAACCATTCTCCCTCCTGCCTAGCACCTAGAAGTTCTTCTGCGTTGTAGCGCATCCCATGCTTCATAGGTCGAACACTCACCTCGAGCGCTTACTCTCTGTTTTCCAGTGGATTAGGTTTCACTCCTCCCTCCTTATGCTGTAGGGCGCGGTGAAAGTGTTTTATTCACTATGCAAATTGCAATCCTCACACATCAGGTACAGCTCTTCAATCGCTTTTCCTCCTTAGAGTTGCAATACAAGCCGACTTGATTTTATCTTACTGGAAGGAGCTGCTATAACGAAGGGACTTAAACGGTATCACGGAATGCGAAGATCTTTAATGATTAATTTAATAGCAGAATCATTGTCAGATTAATTATATGACCTATTTTTGCCTTACCGTTAGGTCCTCATGAAAGACGACGGTGTTCCTGCATCAGCTGAGGAGGTCAGAGACTTTATTCGAAATTGTCTTCAACAGGCTGCTCTCGTAAACTACTCGCGAGTGTCTGAATATGCATCCATTGAAAGTAATATCTCTGTCTCCTTCCTGTTGGATGCCTGTTGAAAATTTAGGAAACACTCCTTCTCCATACAGTATACAGCCTTTGCATTGAACGTACCTTATTGTTAAGTGCCACAATGCTTGTCCATAGAAGAGATTTCATTCTGAATAACCTTTCAAGTCAGTAGTTTGAATAAACAAATGCAGTCAAAGGATCGCTTCTTCTTTTTAGGTGGTCAAGATACTGCAGGCGACCCACCCAGTAAGTTCTCGTCCTCCTCTGTTGCCTTCGGTTATACCCCAAAAATTGTTCCATAATGCTGCATTTGAAACTGTCAGATAACTGCAACAAACTTTTGCAACTTTTCAGGGATGAACTTTAGCTTACAATGAGCTGATGATGTTAGTACGAGCAGCGAAGCCCTCATCGTTGACGTTGAATTTAGTGTAATGAAATCTGTGCTTCCCTTAGCATAATCTACCCTACTGACATGACACTCCACTGCTTAGATGGTTTGCTTGGTGAATGATTTAGATTCAGTGAAGTCAATCTCCGACCTCATCCATCTAGCCGAATTGTGCATTGAAGTCCTGCGACAAAACGAAGAACATCACGCCGAGGTTTGTATTTCCTACCCTTATTCATCCCATCAACAGAGCAATAAATGTCGTCAGCATAAAATACTACGAAATTCCGTCTGATGCCATCTTTTCAAGTGTCGAAATGCTACCTTTCAGTTTATTTTCAGCATAAGCGAAATGATGCTGATCAGCAGAATCCCTAATCACAACCAAAAGTATGGCAAAATAAAAGCACACATTCTCCATTTTTATGACATTTTAAAATAATTTGGCTGAATGCATAGTTTTTAGCCTTACTGATTTGACGGTGATGGCACAACATCAAAGCATTGGAATCGGAGATGACAGGGGTGCCGATGGTTAATTGTGTATACCACGAAGAGCCGAATTGAAAATCACTAATCCAGTGGCCAAAAGCAATGCTTGAGACATGTATTTTAGGCTGTTGCGATAGCAAGCTGCATGAATGAATCCAATTTCAATCATTTCCTGTAGACCATATTAGTGATCAAGCGGGTTGGAGGTCTCAACTGGATCGTTTGTAAGCCTTGCATCTTCAAGTGCCATTGATTTAATGTTGTTCATGTCGAATTCTTCAGTCGTTCGCCTGGTTCAGCGACCTGCTTACAGAGCATGCTGAACTGTTCTGGTCTCTCTTCGCGGCCGACATGGTGATAGTGATGGAGAAGATTCCACCAGATTGCTGGGACGCTTTCCCTCTCTTCCAAGTGCTCAACGACTACCTCATAACGGAGGGTGAGTTCTCTCTTCGGTCCTGAATTCAACGGGTTGCAAACCTTACA